CAGAACATGCTACAAACTGTTTCTGCCTCTCACTGGTTTGAGGAGCAGGCAAAGCCGCAGCCCTAGGTGGAGTCATAGCCTGGTGGCAGATCAGGTGCAATACTGTGCACTGTCACCCACACCCCGCTGACCTGGCGTAGGCTGCCTGTGTTTCCCTTTGAGTGCAGCGAGAGCATTCTGGGGTCCAACAAGTGTGTCCCGTTGATCAAGGCACCCCTACGTCCTCGGCCCTCCACCACTGGGGACTAGAGAGAGGTATTCCCTTGATTTTCTCTGTAATTCAACTACGATTCGGCGTGGCTCCACTACCCGGGGCCCTCTCTACAGCCCCCTCTGCCTCACTGGCCCCGGTGGGGGCCTTTCTCAGAGGAGGGCCCAGGCACTTAGACACTTGCCTGTTTCTGTCTTTCAGAGCACAGGAGCCACCATCAACGAAACGGTGAGTGTCCCCACCCCCGTGAGCGTGGCATGGCAAAGAGGGAGTTCATGATTATTTAGCGCTGCCCAGTGAAGACCGAGAAGACTCTGCCCGTGGGCACCTCTCTGGCTTTCCACTCACACAGAATCAGGCTTTTGATCCTCAGATGGGAGGGCTGGGGACAGAGGCTCCACAATTCACCCCCAGGCCCCTTAGCCTGGGCCAGGCTCCTGCAGTCTGGTGGGACCAAGTTGCCAAGCTGGGGCTCTACGTGGCAAAGGTGAAATTCGGAAATAGCTCCCGGCCTGCACTTACAGGGCCGTCCCACACCTGCCAGCCCGCGGGCTGCACGGGGGTGCTGTTTCTCTTCCCTTCCCGTCTCGTCTTTTTGTCTCTGTGTCTCCTCCTACCTCCTTCCCTGTCTCACTCCAATTCTCAGTCTCCTTCTCTTTTTGCCTCTCTCTCTCCCCGTCTTTCCCTTTCTCTCTGATTCTGTCTGTTTCTGTCTTTGTCTTTCTCCCTCCCGGCCTCTCCTCCTTTCTGAGTGTCTCTCTCTCTCTCTCCTTGTCTGCCCTTCTTTCTCTGAGCATCTGTTTTTCTCTCTTTGTATCTCTCTTTTTCTCCCTTCTCAGCATCCATGCCTCTCTATCTCTAGCGGTCTCTCTTCTGCCTCTGTCTCTCTCTTTTGTCTTCTCTATGTCTCTGTCTCTCTATCTTTCTGCCTGATTCTCCTTTCTCTGACTGTCTCTGCTTTCCTTTCTTTCTTTGAGTCTCCTTCTTTGTCTCTCTGTCTCTGTATCTCTGTGTCTGTCTTCTCCATGTCGGTCTCTGTCTTCCTGTCTCTCCCTTCCTGGGTCTCTGCATCTCTGTGTATCTCTCTGTCTCTTTTTCTGTCTCTCTCCCTAACTGCTGCCTCTGTCTCTCCTTAGCTGTTCTTTTTGCCTCTCTCTCCTCCTCTCTGTCTCCCCCTTTGACTGCTCTGTCTCTCTCCTCATCTCTGTGTGTCTCTGTCTCAGTGTTCCAGTCTCTCTCCTCCATTCTGTGTCTGTCTCTCATGTTCTCTCTGACTGTATCTCTGTTTCTGTCTCTTTCTCTCCATCTTCTTCCCTCCGATTCTCCTTCTTTCTCCATTTCCCCATGTCTCTCTCTTTTGGTGTCTATATCTTTCCTCTGTGTATCCCTCTCCCATGTCTCTCTCTTTTGGTGTCTATGTTTCTCCTCTGTGTCTCCCTCTCCCTGTCTTTGTCTTCCAGTCTCTCTCTTTCCATCTGTCTCTCTTCCATCTTTGTCTCTGTGTCTCTCATCTCCATCCCTCCCCCATCCCTCCACAACTCTGGTGACCCACCCATTAGTGGCAGGGTGGAGCCAGGGACTGAATCTCTGGGTCTAAAACCTGCACATCCCCACAGAAGTCACTCCAGCTCTCTGCCCCCACGTCGGCCCCCACAGCACACACAGGGACAGCGTTCCACAGCAGGGACGGCGGACACTGGCCACACGGACCTGCCCAATGTCCAAACACGGTACCTCTCACAGATTCTGGGCCTGAGGACATGTGCAGGTCTGAGGGCCACCACCCCATCTCCTCCGGTTACAGCCAGCTCCTGGGGCCCCAAGGGAGGCTCCTTCCTCCTCTCCCAGCTCCCAGTTCCCAGGGGAGGCTCCTTCCTCCTCTCTCAGCTCCCAGGTGAGGCTGCCTGCTCCTC